TATCTATCTATCTATCTATCTATCTATCTATCTATCTATCTATCTATGTAGCTGTCTAGCTATCATTTGTGTTGTATAATTCTAATTATTTTATATTTATATTATATTTACATTTTAATTTTATAAATTTTGTCTTGGGTTTTAAATACATTTAAAATGTTAATGTTTTTCTTCTTCTGTTTAGGAGTCAACATGGATGAGTTTAATAGTGAATTGATCAAATCCCTGATGCAGACTGACCCTGCTGCAGCAGCTGCATGTATTAAAGAATATCTAGAAAAGAAAAATAATACACCACTAAACATCGCCATCACTGGAGAATCTGGCGCCGGTAAATCCACTTTTATTAATTACTTCAGAGAAATGACCAACAACGATGAAGGAGCAGCTCCTACTGGTTGTACAGAAACCACCTTTGAAAGCAGCCCATATCCTCATCCAAAGTATCCTAACGTTGTCTTATGGGATCTTCCTGGGATTGGAACCACAACTTTTCCAGCTGACGAATACCTGAAGAAAATGGGATTTGAGAAGTTTGATTTCTTCATCATCATCTCAGACACTCGCTTCAGAGAAAATGATGTGAAACTTGCTAAGGCAATTCAGAAGATGGAGAAGAAGTTCTACTTTGTTCGCTCAAAGATCGACAGTGATTTACAGAATGAGAAGAGAGGTAAAAATAACTTTAACGAAGAGGAGACTCTGAAAAAGATCAGAGAATACTGCATTCAAGGTACATTTGTTATTTTACCATTTGGATTTAAATTAGTTTTATTTATTTAGTTTAAAATAATACATGTAAAATCTCTCCCAAAAAGATTTTTGTAAAAAATTGAATGACACTCCAATTTTCCAAACTAACTTTTATTCTATTTTTTTTAATGTATTTAACATAAACCACAGCATTTCTAAAGTGAAAGATTTCAAGTGTTATGTTCCAAAGATAAACTGTGTTTGCTTGTTCTTTTTTCTTATATAACGTAGGACATTTACCAAAATGTATTTTTTAACCATATGATGACAAGGTTAAAATCTAAATGATATTGCATTTTTTGTTTATGTTTCAGGTCTTCAGAAAGAAGGATTTGAGTCTCCACAGGTCTTCCTGATATCCAATTTTGATCTCCACCTCTATGATTTCCCTCTGTTACATGAGACCTTAGACAGAGAACTTCCTGAACACAAGAGACGTGCTCTTCTGATGGCCATGCCAAACATCAACCTGGAGGTTATAAACAAGAAGAAAGAGTCTCTTCAGTCTCTTATAAAGTATTATGCTGCTGCATCTGCAGCTGGAGCAGCTGTACCTGTTCCAGGTCTTTCTATAGCGGTTGATTCGGCCCTCATAGTTCAAGCTGTCACAACATTTGTTGTCAGTTTTGGTCTTGATGTCAAATCACTTGACAAACTAGCTGATGGCACAGGTGTGGCAGCTACTGATCTGATAAAAGAGATCTTGTCACCCCTGGCTGCAGTAGAAATAACCCCAACTCTCATCCTGAATTTCTTAGGCCAGTTGGGAAGTGTTGTTGGTTTAATGGCAGGAGAGGAAGTGTCCAGGTTCATTCCAGTATTTGGAACCTTTATAGCAATGGGGCTTTCTTTTGCAGTAACCTACAAATCACTGAATCATATTCTTGACAAACTTGCTGAAGATGCACAGAGGGTTTTTAAAAGAGCTCTGGGTTTGAACAGCTCAGTGTGATGTGAAGTCTATGAAATATCTCATTCTGTGCTGGGATGAATTAAAGAAACACTATTTTTATCCTTTTCATCTTTGCCATGGACAGTGGGTGTTCATGTAATTGCTCATGCCTGTGTTTGTGTGCATGTTTGTCAGTCTGTTGGTAAAATATCACATCGACCTCTGGACAGATGTTTAACAAATCTTTGTTTTCTTTAAGTAATCTCTGGATGTATATCTACACCTGAATGACTTTTTGAATCAACTCAAAATCAGATGACCATCACAGCTAGTTAACTTTGACAAACATCAAAATGGCTACAACTCAGTTTTGAAAATGAGGGAATGAACAAAATGTATTCCTTCAAGGGATGCCAGATCTTTATTGTTCAATAAACTGTATAAGATTATTGAAAATACACACAGTATCTACAACTTGTTGCATATCTGAATTAAGATACTCACATAGGCTCAACATTTTTGTTTTTCTTATCTGTCTGGATAGAATTACTTTCTCAAAATTTATGGATCTGAAACACTTTTCTACATGGTCTACATTAAGCAAAAAAAAAAAAAAAAATTGCATCCTGTGTGTGTTTGTGTTTGTGTTTGTTTTGTCATCTTCTAATGAACTCAACATTATTTGTGCAGATTTAAACCATGAACAATGTAAATAATATTCAGATTAAATGTTGTGGTATTTTCAAATTGTTCAATTTATAATGTTTGGATTTAATGCAGTTCACACAGCACAATAGCTTTTCTTGTATTTTTATCTCACGTTGGAAGTATTCTATAAATCTGGGTATTTCTCATTATAAGAAACATTTTCTTTTCAGTAGTAAGTTTCTATTTGTCATTGAAATAACATACATTTATTAAAGGTAATTCACTTTTCAAAATGTTTTATTCATTGTATTTTCTGAAAATTAAATTCATTTCCCAGAATGTCTATTTGAAACCAGATGTTCATGTACACCTCCAAATCTGAGGCCATGGTCCTTAACCAGAAAAGGAGGGATTGCTCTCTTCAGGTCGAGGGTGAGGTTCTGCCTCAAGTGGAGGAGTTCAAGTATCTCGGGGTTTTGTTCACAAGTGAGGGAAGAATGGAGCATGAGATTGGCAGATGGATTAGTGCAGCATCTGCAGTATTACAGACTCTGTATTAATCCGTTGTAGTGAAGAGGGAGCTGAGCTGTAAGGCAAAGGTCTCTGTCTACTGGTCAGTTTACATTCCTACCCTCACCTATGATCACAAGCTCTGGGTAGTGACTGAAAGAATGAGATGGCAGATACAGGCGGTTGAAATGAGTTTCCTCCGCAGGGTAGCTGGACTCTCCCTTAGGGTGAGAAGTTCAGTTATCTGGGAGAGACTTGGAATAAAACCCCTGTTCTTCCACATTGAGAGGGGCCAGCTGAGGTGGTTGGGGCATCTGGTAAGGATGCCCCCTGGTGCTTCGGGTATGTCCAACTGGGAGGAGACCCCAGGGAAGACCCACGACACGCTCGAAAGACTATGTCTCTCGGTTAGCCTGGGAACACCATGGGGTCCCCCCAGAAGAGCTAGAAGAGGTGGCTGTGGAAAGAGATGTCTGGGACTCCCTGCTCAAGCTGCTGCCCCGGCGACCCGACTTCAGAACAAGCAGAAGATAATGTAAGGACGGATGGAATAAATAAATGAAAAATAATACAGACAAAATATTGATAAAATCAGCTGACTAACTTGTCACCAATAATGTTGCAGGTGTGTGTTATAGCATGTTGTGCAACAAACAATTGTTTTATTGAACAGTCTGATTGTTAGGAGAGTTGTGATGAGGTTTTACTTCCTTCCCTCTCCTGGTCTCAGCGAGAAAATACAGAAGTAAAGTTTTTTTTTTTTATTATATTTTTATGCAGTGAAGCAAACAATGCCACTGTGTAATTTACCATTTTTATCTTGACATTTTACATCTCTAAATATTTCACTGTAATCAACTGTAGGAACTTATATATTTAAAGATGACAGAAATTACTAAAATCTGATTTAACAGCCCCTTTGTACAAATTTACTCGTTAGAAATATTACAGCACACACTTCAAATATACAGAATAAATCTACTCTGTTTCAACATGATGCAAATCTTTGTTAGTCTGAAGCTGCAATTAAAATTAAAAATGTTATGTACTGCATTTATATATTATAAACATTTGTTTTATAAAGATTAAAAATACAGCAGCATATGTTCATGTTCATAAATTATTAAAACAAACAAATGGTAGTTAAATAAGTACATTATTTATTTATTGCTAATTTTGATATTGTGTAAAATAAATGGATGACTTTAAATGGCATTAAGATTAATTAAAATGCTGGATTTGTTATTGTAGCTATCCCAGCTGAAGCTTTATTTTTCCTGTGAATTTTCCAAATCAGAGAGTTGCAGTACCACCAGAATATTTTCAAAAATCAGACACATTTTGCTATAACAATAAAAACATCATGATATTAGGGCAGAATAAACTCAGTTACACAAACACAAACAAAATCTTGAACCCTTCAATCCCTCAAACCCTCAAAAATATAAATAAAGCCATTTATATTTCCTGTTTTAAATTTTGCAATATAGGACAGATGGTAAAACATTACTGTATTAAAAAAATACATTTAGAAGGACACAGGTGAGAGGACAGGAAACCGAAGCTCTCAGTCATGAGGAGGAAATCAAGGATTTTGCTGTGGGTCCTGGAAGAACCATCTACTTGTTTTGGAGGCAGCGCTGAAAGATAACGGTTCCTCTACTGCTTGTTCTGGCTATGAGGCTCCAGGACAAGATGAAGACGTGATTCGATGCCTTTATGATGCGGTTATGTTCTGTCATGATGCTGTGAGCAGTGTGTGATAAACAAAAAGCACTGCCTTCTTGCTAAACTAAACAATCAAAAACCAAATTAATATAAAAAAATTATGTGGTGAGAGCAAATTTATTGAGAATTTGTTAGATTTCTGAGTTTGCTTTTGAGCTGGAAACTTCATCGCTGCTTGTCACCTCTTCTTTATTGGGGGGCATTGTATGTTTGGTGCTCAAGTCCTTGATGTAACCCAATTCACTCTTTAATAACTTTTGGCTCTATAGTAAGCCATCTTGTAGATTTCTGGTTTACAAACACAGAAAGGGAAAGGACTCTTGTGACCCTCAAAACAATTTAAATATAAAATGTGTTATATCAATACTTTTTGTTTTATGAAATTTGCCATGTAGCCTTTTTTCAGGGTTCAGAGTCTCCTGGATGAACAATCAAACAGTGGTAATGTATTGCGGTCAGATTTAGCACATTTGAACACGTCTGAATAAAAATAAAAGCCAACGTGTCTAATTGATTCAAACACTTAACAAAACGTCTGTTAAATGTTACAAAAGGAAATGGCAAAGTTCTGAGGCGGTATGCGTTTGACCATCCAGGCCTTACTTGGAATGTTTTCAGGTTTGAAATGCAAAAAATTAATGACTATTAACATGTTTATGAAGATGAGAAAAACTGGAACTACTTGCTACACACTACTTGCTTTTTTTGTATTGAACGCTTTTTGAATACTTGCTACACATGAAAATAGTAACCTCAAGTATTGTAAAATGTTAATTTACTGACTTACACAATATATACATATACAGTGTATACATGTATATAAATTTTGGAACAATATATTTTGCTGGATTAATAAAATTTGAACTCTGACATAATCTTGAGATACACAAACCCTTTTAATGGCAGCATGACAGCTCAGTGGTTAGCACCGTTGTCTCACAGCAAGAAGGTCCTGGGTTCAATCCCCGGTTGGACCTGGGGTCTTTCTGGATGGAGTTTGCATGTTCTCTCCATGCGTGTGTGGGTTTTCTCCGGTTTCCTCCCACAGACCAAAAGCATGCATGTTAGGCCACCTTCAGGTCCACGCCTCCCTTGCAAAAGAGATCTGTGATCTTAATGAGATTTGCCGGGTTAAATAAAAGGTTAATAAATAAATAAAAATTGTTGATTTAATGTGTGTGCTAATTAAAGCTAAAATTTTAAATTAGAGACATAAAGGTCTTCTAAACTTCTTTCACCAATCTGTCATTGTTTTGTATATTTCATCCCTAAAACAGACACTTGTTCCAACACAGTCCAGATGCAGAAAATCACACTTTTCAGGGACAAAAGTTTATTGTAACCCTACAAAACACAAGAGGTGAGAAAAAATACAAAACAAAAATTATAGTAAAGAAAAAAAGGTTCATTCTTTTACAAGTCTCAGAACTATCCATCATACACGGACCACAGTTCGGTTACTTATATTTTTAATATAACATTTTGCTGTAATGCTGTGTGTACATACAAAATAAAGCAAACTAAATAAGGCAAATAAATAGAGGTACAATTTACAGAAAAATGGAACATTCCTCAATGTTTTCATCTTTTTAAATTTTATCTCAAACATCGACAAAGGAGTACAAAATGTTTTTTCTTGTTTTTTTTTCTACTGTACATCTTTTCAGTGGAGGATTTTTTTTGTCCAACCATAAAAATACTGACTCCTCACAATTATACAACCTTGAAGAACGGGTGCAACTTTTCTCAGGCAGTACAAACTGTGGTGTGACAGATGTGTTTCTGTTTCACAAGCAATGTTCTCTTAAAGGAATAACACGTCACATTTTGTGCAACCAGCTGTAGGCATGCAGATCAATGCTTTGTGCATATACTGACGGAAACATGGTGGCGACAGAATAACTCACTTTTTTCATCTTTAGATTAAAACCTAAACATCCTGCTTTGTAGAAGTGTTCTTTAGCTTCCACATCTCCACCAATCCCTTCTCTGCCACTCAGACTGCCTGCATGTTTCTGGTAGTCCAGCCAGCATCTTCAACCTCACTTACCATTTTTCATTTTTCTCTACACACCTTTATTTTGCACCGCTTTTTCGTTGCACCCTTCTCCTGTCAGGAGGAAGCTGAGCCCTCCAAACTGATGCTGCAAATGGAAATGTCCCATCATGAAAGT